TGATTGATCTGTGATTAAGCTATCAAATTATATTGAATTGTAGTCTAAATCGTAGTAGATACGTAGTTAAATTGACAATTTAAGGGATAATAAAATTTTTAATATAAATTTCTTAAAACATATACAAAACAAATATGAAAATTATACTGTACAAAACTATTAGAATAAAAAAAACAACACAATATACTAAACTGATCATTTTCAAACTAATCAACTAACTATAACAATACAATTACTATAACATTACAAACTAGAACACTATATACTTATAGTTGTGACTATAGCGCTTCTGTCTAAAAATACATTGAAGATTTTTATTATACTTATATTTGCCCACCTCAGAGCAAAATTAACAAAAAACTACTCATATGGATTTCTGAATGAATAAACTATAGTATATCAACAATCAATATCTTCCAAAATCAAATTTAGGTAAATCTTACCTAATCTATTAAGTTTAGGTTGCAGATAAATTAGAAAGAATTCTGTCTAAAGTTTGAATCTTATTCTTGTAAAAAATTTGTAAATTGACTCTGACCTGTGTTAACTCTATATAGTTGCCCAACACAAATTATTAATAAAGATAAAGGCAAGACCTTATTATCTTTAAGAAACTATAATTTCTGTTATGAAAACCCCTTGGCATCCCGTATACCTTTCCGCATCCGAAATTTCTTCCTCGATTCATAGTCAATATATTGTATTTCGTGAATTTTTCATATGAACGATCGTCATGTTATGCCGGGCTCTCGTGTCACATTCTGGGGCTCATATTATTATGTGACGAATAGAACATGTCTACCAGTTTTATAATGGTAATATTTAATAACGTATTTTAAGTACTGATATTGATTAAAATAGAGAACAATATGAAGACGACTATAATACGGTGTAAAGTGCTTTCAAATTCGAGACATCATTATTCCTTCGTATAAGAACTTTTTTGCCTAAAATTGATACCATTCTAACAATTTTTATATGAATGTATATGTATTACAAATTTTGAAAATTCACATAAAAAACTATATATTAATCAATGTTTATCGGTTTTATCTTCAATTATTATCTCTGTAATTATTTCATTACTAGGGTTATTGCTAGGGTTATTACTAAGGTTATTACTAGGAATATTGATATGGTCATTACTTTTATCGTCATTATATTCATTGGAATTTTTTCGGTGTATCCAATTAAGAATATAATATAATATTATAATGACCGAATTCAGCATGACTACAATAAGATAAACTGATGCTGCTAAAATGTCAAATGGAGGCGGACTGAATACTAAAAAAATGTTAATAAGGGCTGAATTTTATTATAGAATTTAAAAAAAGTTATAAGCTATTCACCTAGACTTGTTGCGGAAAAAGCAGCTCCAAGAATGTCTATTACTAAAAATATTAATGAAATACCACGTACAAGTTTTATACCTAAAAAAAAAAAAAGTAAACAAATGCACTATTAAGATTTTTTATCTTTTTTTTGTGGATGCAAGTAAAAATAAATAAATAAATCAAACACACGATAAATTTCGTAAAACTGGGGCCCATATCCAGCAAACACCAGAATTGTGGGTAATATCCCAACAACTATTTTTGGCCAGTCGATATTTTTTTCATTTGCAAGCTAAATTTCAAAATATAAAGACATATAAAATTAATAAAGTCCAATATAATAAAGTTAACCTGTTAAAATTTTAACATAGGTGACAACAAAAGATAGATCGGTAATGTTCATCAACCAATCAAGGGGAGGATCATGTGTAACATTTAAAATCAAAGCGATTTTACCAAATCGACTATCGGTTCACCCTAACCTAATGTAACCACTTTAAAAAAAAACCTTTGCTAGTTTTATTTAATTAGAGGGTGGTGATGAATCGTACTGGTAACTTTCTAACAAATGATATAAAATAATTACCCTAATTCCAAAGATACAAGCACTCTGAAATCCGGCCCATATTATGCAGATAACCAAAAATAAGAAGCCAGTTTTTTTTTTGTTTCTCATGAATATGGGGTTATCATAATACATGCATTGTATAAAACATGTCGTGCTCAACAAACCAAATATCGTTTGTTGAATTTTTAAGATGATTGAAAGTTCAGATACTACTGCGTAGATTACGTAAAACAAGCCTGATAAAGCCTTTTATCATAAATTGCTTGTAAGAAAAAGTTGTACATAAACTAAATTAATTGAATTGATTAAATTGGAGATAATTGATACAAACCCAAATAAACATCATAAAAGGTGAAAGACCTTTTTGTATATACATAAAAATGGTGAACATCAACATAATTTTATGCAATAATGATTCATTTAAATAAGGATTCCCAACACAATAATCCAAATCTCATTCATTGAAATTTATTATTTTTAAACTTTCATAGAATTAACTAATTTTATTCAATATTAGTCAAGTGAATGCGAACGTGAAAAAACGTGAAATTTGGATTTGTGCTTATATATAATGATAGGATATAAACGATAGGGTGCACATAATTTACACGTATAACCGATTGAACAGTTGCAACTAATTAATTAATCGATCGGTTGCAAATAATCGATCGAAAAAAGTTTGCCGATTTGTAACACTACTCATCTCTACGATGAATACGCTAAATTCTTTATAGACAAATATTACAGAACGACATACCTTTAGTTGATCCATTACGCAAATTCTTGAGGACTTTGTTTAAAAACGATATGAAATTACAAAGTTATTATATACTAAATAGAACCATTATTTTAACAAATTTTTCTTTGAGGAAGTAGATTTACTTTGAGGGAGTAACTGAAAACTCCAAAAAACAGATCCAATAGTTCCAATTATATAATTCAAGTTATGAAATAACGTTCGATTGCTGTCATTTTCCATTCTGCTTATAAAGGCTATATAAAAATCAATCATGAAATTTACGTGCGCACATGAAAAATTTCTACAAATTTAAAAAGATTGACTTACTTGCGTGAGTAATGCAAACCTTAAACAGAAATTAGCGTCACCAAATGGAATAAGGGAAGTCTAAATATAGATCATTATACGTATCATAATTTTTATTTTTATATTATGCTTCTTAGCTTTCACTTGCTCATACAGAAACAATTATTCAGACTATTTCTGAATGGTTAGTTATTATTGAATTAGAGTTAAAATTTATTTAAAACTAGAATAAGGTTAATATATGTATATTTATTTATATTTATCATTGTAACTCAATTTCCCGAAATTCATTTTCCCGGAAGAACATAATCCCGATAAAGTTAATTGGCGTTATTTGCGTTATTTGGCGTTAGCTATAATGCTGGCTGATTTAGTTGTGATCATATCCTTTGGTAAATGGTTTTCAGGAAGTCATACAATATACATTTTGCCGACAAAAACCGAATGCACACTATTTCAGGTGTAACTTTGGTCACCTGGCCTAGTTGAATTTTTCTTACCATTGTTACGACCTGGGAGTAGGGATGTTAAGTGGTGCGTCTGGTCCAGTCCCGGTCCTGTCCCTAAAAAGTCTGGTCCAGGACTAGTTGAAAACTAGTTCATAGTGATTTACTACAGATTTTATAAGACTTTTATTACTAACTTTACCATTATTGATCGACAAAGTCGACACTTAACTAATTTTAACTTAATTCACCAATTAGAGTTCCATAATTTATTTTACAATTAGCGAATTTCATTTAAAGTACCAATACTCAGGGTGCATTGTTATTGATTCACATTTTATCGAATTTTATTTAATGTCCAAAAATAACACTCTATTCATATCATGCGAGAGCTGGACTGGTTTTGGACCAGTTCCCTACTAACCCTAAAAAGTCTGGTCTGAACTAGTTTCCCGTGAACCACTTAGCATCACTACCTGGAAGATACTTTCTTACTCGTCGTCAATTTAGCGCAGGGCCACAAACATAAAAGTGAGATATTATCCTTTGAAACAATAGGTATATATTTTATTACAAACGCAAAGGGTACAATGTAATAATATCAAAAGAGATTGCCTTCCTTTTAAATAGATTTTCTATTAGACGCAAATAAGCTAGAAAATTTTTACTTAAAATGTAGTTATAGTTTTTTAGCTTTCAATGCAGTTGAAATCAGGGATTGGGGAATTAATATTACGGTAATACATTATTATAAAGAAAATTTTTTAAATATATTTTCACCAAATACATATTAGACACTGATATATACATGACATAATCGTTGTAATTATCCATCAGCAGTTTATGGTTAATTAACGATATTATTGATGGCATAGAACAATTACGGTATTAATACAATTTTACATAAAATATGATTATAATTGTTAAATTATACAATTACATTTTAAAGCTAATACCTGATATATATGTTGTGAAATTCGCATGGGAAATTTAGCTGCGTCAGATCGAAAATTGATTTTGAGATGCTTCAGATAAAAATTATCTTATAATGCGTCATATTAAAATCGATAATTTAAATTTTATATGGTGAAAAATAAACTCACTAACCTATAATTATATACTATATTATTGTACATTCTTCCATTATGACATCTACTTCTCATTCAAATCCAATTTTAAAATTTTATATAAAAATTCAAAAATGTACAGTTCTTTATTAAAAATATATCAAAACATTACCTAATAGCTGTTTTAAATATAGCTGAATATAATAGTTATTGTTTGTACACAGATTTGCAAAAAGAAAGTTAGTACTAATCTTAGTCCACAATAAACTAAGCTTTCAAATTAATTAGTTTGATAATCCAAGCTAATTTAATCAATAATCTTCTTTTATTAATTACAACTATTATATTAGATCTTTTCAATAACATTCTTATTATATTAGATCTATTTAATACTCTCAAATTATAATTAAATCTATTTAGTAAACACTTATTAAGTTATAAAATTAGTATAGGTTATTAAAACTTAGTTCATTCTCTGATAATATTTTAAATCAGTAATTATAAAATGCACCTATAGTGTTTATGGTGTTGATAAGTTTTACTAAAATTTATGGTTAGAGTGCAGTTAAAAGTAAGATAGGCGTTAGATATAAAGGTCTAAATTTTAGTTAGTGTAAGGTTTTTAAGGTTCCAAACATTTTTACTTAATGCCTTTGAGAAGTGTTAGCTAGTACATTTTTTGAAATATAGCAATTATGGTGTTTAACACTATTAATGCATTTTAGTAAATCTAAATTATATTATTTAAAAATAATATAAGTTTAAAATTATAGAATATTATTAATATATAGTTTTTTTGTATTAAAATAGAAGTTTTTTATTACAAAATAATATCAAATGCTAACTTAATACTTAACTTATTATAGTTTTTTTTTTTTTTTGATGTTAAGGTGAGGCCTTGCTCATATCTTCATTAGTAATTTTAGTTGTACATATTAATATACTATATATTAAGAATATATTAAGATTGTAAAATACAAAATAAAAACTATATGCAAGAATTAAAGCTTAGATGACATTATCTGCGACCTAAACTGACTATGGTGGTCAAGGCCCACCTAGATTTGTAATGTTAAAATATGATTATAAGA